GAGGGTGCAGAGGAGATTCACCAGGATGTTGCCTGGGATGGAGCATTCCAGCGATAAAGAGAGACTGGATAAGCTCGGGCTGTTTTCTTTGGAGCAGGGAAGGTTGAGGGGAGAGACCTGATAGAGGTGTACAAGATTGAGGGGCATGGACAGGGTGGATAGAAAGCAGCTGTTCCCCTTAGTTGAAGGATCAAGAACAAGGGGGATGTAATTTTAAAGGGAAAGGCAGGAGGTTTAGCGGGGATTGAGGGAAAAGGTTTTCTCACCCAGAGGGTGGTGGGAATCTGGAATGTACTGCCTGGGAGGGTAGTTGAGGTGGGGAACCTCAAAACCTTTAAGTAATATTCCAAGCCATGGGTCTTGTTCAGGAAAGTGGGACTGGTGGAGATAGTCATGTACTTTTGGCAGGAAAGACTCAATGGGGTGAAAGGCCTTTTTTGAAATGTGTGGTTTAGGTTAAAAAAACCCTGCAGTCATCTTTCACCAATCCTTGGATTTTTGCTCCACAATCAAAAAAACAGAAAAACAGACATAGCCTTTATAGACAGCAACAAAATCAGAAATTGCTGGAGAAAAAATTCCACCCTCGGGCGACTGTCTGTGTGGAGTTTGCACATTCTCCCTGTGTCTGTATGGGTTTCCCCCCACAGTCCAAAGATGTGCAGGTTAGGTGGATTGGTCATGCTAAATTGCCCGTAGTGTTCAGGGATGTGTGCTATAGAGGGATGGGTCTGGGTGGGATGCTTTGAGGGTCGGTGTGGATTTGTCGGGCCGAAGGGCCTGTTTCCACACTGTAGAGATTCTATGATTCTATGATCTAAACGCAGCCAGCCTGGTAGCATCTGTGGAGTTAGTGTTTTGGGTTGAGTGACTGTGTGTCGGAGCTCTACACAGTAATGTGTGTGAACGAATGTTTTACAGGAGTGTGTGAACCCATGCTGTAATGCCAATAACTGCACACTGAAGCTTGGAGCACAGTGTGCCCATGGAGTCTGCTGCAAAACCTGTCAGGTACGTAAATCATCATCTTCAGCACCAACTGCAGGGGGCACCCTATGTTCATTCTCTTATCAAACATGGCCATCACTGGCAGGGTCAGCATTTATTGCCTGTCCCTAATTGCCCCTTGAGAAGGTGGGGGTGAGCTGCCTTCTTGAATCGCTGCAGTCCTCCTGCTGTGGGTTGACCCACAACTTCCTTAGGGAGGGAATTCCAGAATTTTGACCCATTGACAGTGAAGGAACGGCGATATATTTCCAAGTCAGGATGGTGAGTGACTCAGAGGGCAGGGGTTAATTGAGAAGGTGCGGTTTGGTATCGCTGTGTTCTCTGACAGTCTGACTGAAGTCTGTGTGTTTCTGTGCCGGTATCGCTGTGTTCTCTGACGGTCTGTGTGTGTGTTTCTGTGCTGGTATCGCTGTGTTCTCTGACGGTCTGTGTGTGTGTTTCTGTGTCGCTGTGTTCTCTGACGGTCTGTGCCGGTGTCGCTGTGTTCTCTGACGGTCTGTGTGTGTGTTTCTGTGTCGCTGTGTTCTCTGACGGTCTGTGTGTGTGTTTCTGTGCCGGTGTCGCTGTGTTCTCTGACGGT